AACTTGTGATTCTTATCTATTGTAATTTAAAATTCTAAATTTATTTTTGATGTGTTATGAAAATATTCTGATACAATATTCAATTTATACATGATAAATGTTGTAAGAACTTGCGACTCTTATTTATTGTAATCTAAAATTCTAAATTTAACTTATCGATTAAATATGTACATATTTGAGATGCATAATGGATAGGTAAATTTGTTGTGATTCTAAATCTGTTGTTTTATAAATAGAATGATTGCACAAAATTTATTTAATTTTTTTTTTTAAATGTAATTACACAAAATTTTAATTTGTCAAAAAATTTAGATATATAATGCATATACACAAAATTTTCTTTGGTAATGACAGCTTTTAAATAAGAAGCAAAAAGTGAAAAAATATTAACATGCTATTTAAACCTATTTTTCAAGAAATAAGTTTTTATCTCATATTTCCTCCCAAATTTTGATCACCATCTTTAAATTCAAGATCATTATCTATTAATTAGCAGACCAGAATCATCTTTCATTGTGAGTATACATCATTACCGTTAATTGATCTAGTGGTCAAAATTAGGCCATGCCAATTAAAAAAAGGAAATTATTTTTCAGTTAAATGAAAAAAAATAGGGAAATAATGCCAAGGCAAACATTTCCTTAACGATCCAAATCCAGTTCTTTCTCCCCTATCTTTCTTCCCCAAATCTGGTTCTCTCATTTGTCACTCTCTCTCCAACTATGCGAAGAAGAAACCATGGGTTTTTTGTGGTCACCATCCTTTATCAGACAAATCAATTCCGCTTCAAATCAATTCCACTTTAAAGCGTGTATATATATATATTTATGGGAATAGAAGGAAACATAAAATCAATTGAAATCAATTCCATTATTTTACCTAGTCAATTCCATTACCCACATGAGAATGAAGGTATTTGGTGTTGATGAAAAATCAGAGGAGGATGAAAGAAGAAGAAGAGAACAGAAGCATGAAGAAGACGAACAGAAGAGAAGAAGTAAAAGTTAATTGGGTTTTTACTGAATTGGGTCCCATGTACAACTGAATAAAATATTTCTGTATATAACTTTTGTATACGGTATTTGTACATGATAAAATAAAATTGAGTTTAGAAACTTTTTTAATTCACATGTTAAGTTGGCGCTTATTGGGCAATGACAAAGCAACTTTGGGTGACATGGCTTCATCAGAGCTATTGGATTTGCCATGATCACTCTCCAATTAGAGGTGCCATGGAGAGGATTCGCACCCTAAGTTTGGATCCATCCAAAGTTGCAGCATTAAATGGGCTTGAGGTTCAAAAATGGACTTAACCTCTCCAATAAGGCAGTAATTAATTATGCAAGTTTTGTTGAATAATTAACTTCGTAGTCCCTCAGAAAAGAGGGCTTTGCACTGGTTATGTAGATTAGTCGGATAAAATTCCGAATATCTCAATTATATCAAAAAAAAAATATTAATCAGGATAAAGTTCTGAATAAAAAAAATTATAGCACGGAATTAGCTTCGGAGAACCAAATTAGTTCAAAATTCTAATTAAATTTCTACTGAAATGTTGTCGGAGGTAGGTTAATTTTAAAGAAACATAGTCAATCTTCCGGAGTTTTTCAATATTTTTCGGAGTACTATTACGTTGTGTTACCTGTGTGACTAGAATGTGAAATTGGGATTGGGAGCAATGTGAGGCGGGTGTTTCAGAAAATCAAAATTGGATTTGACGTGGTTTCACATATCACGTAACTTTACACGCATGTTTGACTATATTACTCTAGTCAAAGTCAACACTTGCGCTATGAGGCCACGATGGTCGGCTAAATGTATGATGACCATGGGATTCTCATTTGTCTGCCTTTCTAGGGCAACCTACGTATAAACGAGGCTCTTTCAAGGTTCAACGTATTTATAAATATATGTGTGTGAATGTATATATATATATATATATATATATATATATATTTTACATACACAAGATACCAGCTAGAGTTTTTTATTATTATTATTATTTATTTATCAAGCAGTACTGTCCTTTTCTTTGTGCTTGAAATTCTAAAGGTAAAAAATTTTAGTTTTTCAACTAGGAAATATTTTGTGTGTTTGAAAGTAAGAATTAGCTTTCAAATTGGTACATATTTTCCTTGGGCTTGAAATGCTGAAACTAAGGATTTTTTTATTTTTTTCATTTTTTGGTTGCTGTGTGTGAAATTCTGAAAGTAGTAATTTGTTTTCAAATTGGTATACACACCCACACACACGCTACATCCATTGTTTCTATCATAGACGCAAAAATACATATTATAAGCATGGTTTCTATCATAAACACTTTTCGCGGGGGGAGGGGGAGTAATCGTATTCTGTTGGTCTCTTATGCTCGTGAATATGTGTACAATACTATTTACACAAAGACCTTCAAAGAAAGCTAAAAGAAAACTGAAAAATAAATTGAGAAATTTTAAAGGGGAGATTTCTTAACATTTTACAAATATATAGTCCAAGGGCTAAAAATTTATAGACTGTGGGCCCAGTTCAGGGGTAGCACTCATCACGCATCCATAATACTTCTACCATATCTCATGACAGATGTTTGACAATGCTTGAAATGTTACTTTTTTTCTAAAATAATATAATTATATAATTGTCAGAAAAAGCTTAAATTTTGTTTTTTTAAAAGAAGAATGTATGTCCATGTAATGTTATTCTTAGTTTGTTTGGGGTAATTTTTACAAGGAAATGTTAGTATATATATATATATATATAAGACAAACAATTATTACTTTGGATAAATCTCAAAGGATTAGTCTAATCGGAAAAGAGTTAGGCCAATTAAAAAAAAAAATTATTACTTTAGATATGTACATATAAATTTTAATTTACATATTTACAATGCATGATAAACATATATATATTTATATTGTCATGCTCTTAATGTATTTATATTTTACTTTTTAAGAATTTGTTGTATTACCTTCCTCTATTGTATCATCGTTCATAGCATCGATTTTTGCGACAACAATGTTTAATTTTCGCTAACCAACCACCATTTCCATGATATTAAATGGCTATTTAGAAGATTTATTTTCACGAAAATTTATGTATCGACCGGGTCAAATTAAGATGAAACATGATTCCTTAAGTTGGATTTTTCAAACTTATTTATATAATCAAAGGGGCTTTATTCTTTTGATACAGTGAATATATATCACACTTGAGTGTATTCTACATTAAAAAAATAAAACCCCATGGCTAAACAAATTAATTAGTTTAAATATCATTACTCAATCAATTTTTTTTAGTTTAATTTTATATTTAGTGTCCCTTCATCTTCGAACTAATTGAAATTGGTAGCTATAGATCATGACAATTAGTCAATAATATTTTTTATTTTCAGATATAATTTTATTACTTTTTATCATGATCTCAAATAATAAGCCTTGTAAGTTTGGTTGTCATAATTTTACAACGCAATCTCAGTAAAAAACATATAAAAATGACAAACAATTATTACTTTACATACATATAAATTTTAATTTGCATATTTACAACATATTATATGCATACATATTTATATTGTCATGTTCTTAATGTATTGGTATTTTACTTTTTAAAAATTTGTTGTATTACTCTTTTCGTAACGAGTTATGTCTATATTTATTGTATCACACTTCGTAGCATCAATTTTTGTGATATTCAATAGTTATTCAGTAGATTTATTTCCACGGAAATTTACGTATGGGATCAAATTAAGATGAAAAATGATTTCTTAAGTAGGATTTTCAAACATATTTATATAATCGAAGAGGTTTTATTCCTTTGACACAATAAATAGATATCACACTTGAGTTTATCCTAGATTAAATGAATAAAAATCCAACCGTGAACTAATTGAAATTGATAGCTATATCATGACAATTAATTAGTGAATATATATATTTTTTTCAGATATAATTTTATTACTTTTTTCTCGGGATCTCAAATAATACGACTTGTACCAATTTTCATCCAATGGTAGTACTCCATGGTAATCACAAGTTTGTGAAAAAAGCTTGACCCATCTATATGATTTAGCAAACAACCCTCCCTTTGACCTGAGAATGGAGAAACTTACCATTCAAATTGCAACTAATTAATCCATACCGGAACAGTTCACACAAGTTACTTTTATGGAACTAGAATTAACTCTTCTTCTTGGATAACATAAAAGTAGGATGACAACGAGACGGATTTAGAACATGAATTCTTTTTCGGTTTCCATCTCGATCTAAAGAGAATAAACTTTGTCCCATCTATATGATTTAGCAAACAACTCTCCTCCCCCATCAACCCTGCCCTTTTGTTTAAATTCCTACTCAAAATTTTAAAACTCACAAATTTTTTTCCAAAGTTTACACAATATAACCAAATCAACCAAATAAATAAACATCAACAATATTTCAACAAATTCTCATTCAAACAATAAACATGTACGTACACATTAATCACATTTAAATGTTATTATATTGGTTCGTTATTTTAAGATTTTTATTTTTTTATTTTTTTGTGTATAACATAAAGTATGAGGGTAAAATGGTATTTTTGTTAGTATGAAACAATTGAATTGTGGGATTAAAATTGATTTCAAAAGATTGACGTCACCTTATGCATGTTGATTTCAATCTGATTTACAACCATAATCCCTAATTAATGACTATTGATTTTGTATTTATGTAATTAATTAATGTGCTTTCTCATTAGTTTACAAGTATCTTTCTTATTACACGAATGAAACATTGAGAAGATTATGAAGATTTGACCAGCCTATGTGTACAGAAGCTAATAGTCAAATGATTGAACACAACAGGATCACCATCAGTTTTGCTGACTTTTAATTTTGATGAGAGGTTACTTGAAGCACAAACCACCTTGATGACAATCTCTACAATTTCCAAAGTCAAAAAAATCAACCACAAGCTATCATAATGTTTGTGTATAAATACCATATTATTCATCACAACAAATCCATCGCAACATTCCAGTTTATAAATCAAAGCATCACACTAAGAATGTCATCAGAAGACTGTCAAGGTACGTATAAAAAACATGGTTTCAAGCTACTTAGAATTGCAATAATGTGTACAAGTTTTAATTTGTGGCTATATATATATGTGTGTGTGTGTGTGTGCGCGCAGGTAAGAGTTCATGGCCGGAGCTGGTCGGGGTCAATGGAGAGACTGCTGCAGCAACCATTGAGCGGGAGAACCCTTCGGTGAATGCTATTATTGTCAAAGAAGGATCCGCCGTTATCCAGAATTTTGACTGTAATAGGGTTTGGGTTTGGGTTAATAAGAAAGGCATTGTCATCAGTGTCCCTAAAACTGGTTAGGGTCCTAAGCTGTGTTGCTTAAATTACTAGAACTATTTATATATATATATATATATTTTTTTTCGGTAAATGAACTATTTATATTTATTGTTATGTACGTTATTTTTTTCTAAAAGGGAGCTCCAAGAAATAAGTTATAGACTTGGTAGTCTTCACATATTGTTGTAAACACTACTAATTGTTAAATAAGAGTGGCTCAATACAATTAATATATATATATATATATATATATATAAATTTCCTTCTTTATGATCAGCTTATCTATGTCGTCCCACTTTAATTAGAACTTAAAATGCAAGAATAATGACATAATATCTATGTTTTCTGAGTTCTGACGTGTGTGTGTGTGTATTATGCTTTGGATCTTCTCCTAACATCTATAGATTGTGCCGTGATAGGCCTTGGGTATGTTCCACAAGTGTGGTCTCTTTGTTTGATCCTATGCAGATCACCTAGTTAATTCATTCATTCAATCTATACTAAATTAACAATCCGGGCTGCCTTGCAATTTAGTCATTTCTGATTAAAATAATTTTCAAAATTTATGAAAACAAAAAACTATAAAATGCATCTCTCTTAAAAACATGTCTTTTTTCTTCTTTTTTTTAAATGGAATTTTCAAGTACTGCTTCACGGAAAAAGAATAGACGAATCATCTGACTCCATCGTGTATGTTCTAATTTGGGTTGAAGAATTAACTAAATTTTTATAGGGATATTTAAGCAAAAGAGTAATCATCTTTTTTTTTTTTTTTTTAAAGGTAAATAGTAATCATCTTGTTGTTGAGAATTTTAAAGCTTTTAAAACTATGAGTTTGTGGTTGGAAAATTTTAAAATTCTTTTAATATTTAATTTTCTTGTTTGATTTTTAGCTGTTACTTATATGGATTAATTTACAATTTTAATTTGCATGCATGTTTGCCTCTTTAAAGTCCATACAAAACGTGCAAAGTTTACGAGTCTTTATTGTAGCAAATAATGATAGTAAAGAGGTAGCCGTTTGGCTTCTTGGAGATAGGAATATATATATATATATATATATATATATATATATATATATACTAGGAAAATGCACATGCGATGCACGTGATGAATATTTTGTAACTTATAAAATTTTTGTTTTTATATTGATTAATAAAAATTTATTTTATATTAATAAATAAATATTGAAATATTTTGAAATTGGTGATAGAGTTTAAGTTTCGTAAATTAATAAATTCTTTTATGTTTTTATATTAATATTGAAATATGTATATTTTATTTTTCATTAAATAATAATTTTTTATTTTAATAGTGAAATATTTGAGTTTTGCAAAGTAACAAATTTTTTTAGGTAATTTAAATTTTATTAGGTAATTTGTAATTTAAATTTTATTTGATAATTTGAAATTTAGTAAAATCTTAAATTTACAATAGAAATTCAATTATATTATTTTTTAATTAAATTTTAAAATAGAAATTCAATTATACTAATTATACATTAGATTGAAATTGATATAAAAATTTATTATATGGAGTTTGTGGTTTTTGGAAGACACTAGGTTATATTTTATTTTCTTTAAATATGTAATTTGTGGTAGAATTTTATAAAAATTATTTTATTTATTTAGATATATTTTTGTAAAATTAGATTTTCTTTTATTATAAAACTCATAAAAAATAGATAAATACAAGGGTTATATACTTATATGTGATAGAGTTCTCTTTTTGTATAAATTAATAAATATTTTTTATATTAAAAAATAAATACTGAAATGCTCAAATTCTTTAACATTATATTTTATTTATATGTATTATTATATTATTATATATTTTCTTTAAATATATCATTGTCTAATGTGATAGAGTTATAGAAATTGTTTTATTTTCTTTAAATATATCCTTATTTAATTAGATTTTATTTTATTAGAAAAATCATGATAAATAGATAAATACAAGTTATATGTGATAGAGTTTTAAAGAAAATAAAATACTTAATTTGTGGTAAAGTTTTGGTAATTTGTGTTACAGTTTTAATTATTTTATTTTCTTTAAATATATACTTGTCTAATTAGATTTAATTTTATTAAGAAACTCATTGTACAGTTATATAAAAATTATTTTCTTTTATATATCAATTAATAAATATTTTTTTATATAAATAAATAAATACTGAAATTCTTTGGTAGAACTTTGTATTTTACTCTGAAATTCTAAATTTCTAGAATTCTCAATTTCTGTACCCCTTCCTCCTTCCTCCATGCCTCTATTTATAGGCTTCTTGGATGAATAGGATAATGACATGTGTCCTTTTCTGATAATGACATGTGTCCTTTTCTGATAATGACATAATCATAACTGGATCGGGCCGGTTATATTGTGATAATTATTCATAAAAAATAATTAAAAATAAGAGTTTATATAGAATATGATTGATTTTATTAGGTAATTTTTAGATTTTTATAAAAACTATAATTATCCATAAATAAAAAAACTAAAAATAAGAGTTTATATAGAATGTGATTGATTTTATTAGGTAAATTAGATTTTCTTTTATTAAAAAACTTGTAATAAATCAATGAATAGGTAATTTGTGTTAGAGTTTAATATAAACTCTTTTAAAAACTCTTTTTATATCAATTAATAAACATTTTTTATTTTAATAATTCTTGTCTAATTAGATTTATTTTTAGTAAAAAACTCAAAATAAATAGATAAATAGGTAATTTGTGTTTTAAAAACTCTTTAAAAACCTTCTTTTGTATCAATTAATAAATCATTTTTTATATTAATAATACTTGTCTAATTAGGTTTCCATTTATTAAAAAACTCATGATAAATTGATAAAATGGTAATTTGTGTTAGAGTTTTATACAAATTCTTTAAATATATCTTTGTTGATAGAGTTTTATTGATAATAAAATAGGTAATTTGTAATAGAGTTTTATTAAAATTATTTTATTTTCTTTTAATATACCGTTGTCTAATTTGTTTTAATTTTATTAAGATATTCATAATAAAAGTTAATTTGTGATAGAGTTTTATAAAAATTATTTTATTTTATATACCAATTAATAAATATTTTTTATATTAATAAATCTTGTCTAATTAGATTTTCTTTTATTAAAAATGGATAATAATAAATAGATAAATAGGTTAATTTAAATTTTATTAAGTAGATTTTACTGTCTTACAGATTTTTTTTTTTTTTTTTTTTTTTTTTTTTTTTTTTGTTGTAGTAAAAACTATTTTCATATCATTTAATAAATATTTTTTTATATAAATAAATAATGAAACTCTTTACACATCTAATAATAATATAGATAAAAACTCTTTTTATATCAATTAATAAATATTTTTTTTATATAAAAAATAAATAAATACTGAAAAGTTTTATAGAAACTTTGTCGATAGAGTTTTATGGAAAATAAAATGGGTAATTTGTAATAGAGTTTTATAGAAATTATTTTATTTTATTTCAATATATACTTGTCTAATTAGATTTAATTTTATTAAGAAACTCATAGTACAGTTATATAAAAATTATTTTCTTTTATATATCAATTAATAAATATTTTTTATATTAATAATTCTTGTCTAATAAGATTTATTTTATTAAAAAATTGATAATAATAAATAGATTAAGAAATTAATTTAAATTTTATTATGTAGATTTTAGTGTTTTATCATATTATTTAATAAATATTTTTTTAAATAAATAAATAAATACTGAAACTCTTTACACATTTAATAATAGTTGTGGATAAAAACTCTTTTTATATCGGTATTTTACTCTGAAATTCAGCTCTTTTTATATCAATTAATAAATATTTTTTTATTTAAATAAATAAATACTGAAACTCTTTGACAGAACTTCTATATTTTATTCTGAAATTCTAAATTTCTAGAATTCTCAATTTCTGTGCCCCTTCCTCCATGCTTTTGTTTATAGGCTTCTTGGATGAATAGGATAATGACATATATTCTTTTCTGATAATGACATAATCATAATTGGTCGGGGCCGGTTATATTGTGATAATTATCCATAAAAAATAACTAAAAATAATAGTTTTATATAAAATATGATTGATTTTATTAGGTAATTTTTGGATTTTTATAAAAATTATAACTATCCATAGAAAAAAACTAAAAATAAGAGTTTTATATAGAATGTGATTGGGTTTATTAGGTAAATTAGATTTTCTTTTATTAAAAAAACTTGTAATAAATAAATAAATAGGTAATTTGTGTTAGATTTTAATATAAACTCTTTTAAAAACTCTTTTTATATCAATTAATAAATATTTTTTATTTTAATAATTCTTGTCCAATTAGATTTACTTTTAGTAAAAAAAACTCAAAATAAATAGATAAATAGGTAATTTATGTTTTAAAAACTCTTTAAAAACCTCATTTTGTATCAGTTAATAAATAATTTTTATATTAATAATACTTGTCTAATTAGATTTTCTTTTATTAAAAAACTCATGATAAATTGATAAATTGGTAATTTGTGTTAGAGTTTTATACAAATTCTTTAAATATATCTTTGTTGATAGAGTTTTATTGATAATAAAATAGGTAATTTGTAATAGAGTTTTATTGAAATTATTTTATTTTCTTTAAATATATACTTGTCTAATTAGTTTTAATTTTATTAAGATATTCATAATAAAAGCTACTTTGTGGTAGAGTTTTATAAAAATTATTTTATAAAATATATCAATTAATAAATATTTTTTATTTTAATAAATCTTGTCTAATTAGATTTTCTTTTATTATAAATGGATAATAATAAATAGATAAATAGGTTAATTTAAATTTTATTGCGTAGATTTTACTGTTTTATAGATTTTTTTTTTTTTTTGTTTTATTAAAAACTCTTTTCATATCCTTTAATAAATATTTTTTTATATAAATAAATAATGAAACTCTTTACACATCTAATAATAATATAGATAAAAAATCTTTTTATATCAATTAATAAATATTTTTTTATATAAATAAATAAACACTGAAAACTCTTGACAGAACTTTTGTATTTTACTCTGAAATTCAACTCAATTATTAAATATTTTTTATTTAAATAAATAAATACTGAAATACTGAAACTCTTTGGCAGAGCTTCTGTATTTTACTCTGGGATTCTAGATTTCTAGAATTCTCAATTTCTGTACTCCTTCCTCCTTCCTCCTTCCTCCATGCCTCTATTTATAGACTTCTTGGATGAATAG